CCTCCCACAGCCGCCGCCGCTCGGGGCCGGCTCTGCCCCGCGGGGCACACTGCACCAGGGTCGTGCACTGAGAACCTACAAGAGAATGTACTTATAAGCCCATTTTCTCTCACTAATACGTATTACACGTTTAACTGCTGCCTTTAGCCTGCCAGCTGCCCGCAAACTTCGCATCTCTATTCTGTTTCAGTTCGTGCTTTGACAACTACCGTGCCTTTCAGTCAGTCCACCTGCCCTGCGGTCCCTCCCAGGACAAGGGAGCCGAGCACTGCTCTCTGCCTCCACGGCACCAGCAGAAAGGCTCTCCGTGGGGCTCGGGTGCCCCTCTTTAGAGGGGGAGAAACAATTCCCTTTCACTACTGGCAGCAAATTCCCCTGCATTAGTCACAAAAAGGCAAATCTTACCTCCCTTCATTACGTATCTGCCAAAACAGGAAAGGAGTACCACAGGTGGTTCCTGTGCGGGTTCAATCTCTTCTCTAGGCTTTACCAAGTGCTTCAGATGTCACTTTTCAGCTCAGCCCTGCGTGAAGGGGCTAAGATACTCCAAACCAGGCTGTCTTACTTTGGAAACATCCTCATGAGATGCAGAGACATGCACAACGGGGACACTAGGTACAGAAGTCCTGTGAGACCTTATTGCCTGATGTTGTACACAGCGTCTGTTAACCTTTATAAGTCCTGATTCAAAGCACCTAAGTACTGAAAATGATGCATTTAACATGTTCATGCTTTGCCAAAAAGGCAGAGTCTGCTGCCAGAAAAAGTTTAATAAGCAATTAAACTGCTTTCCCAGAAATAACTTCAACTACCACTGCCATGTTATTTTCTGAAAGAGAAAAAAACCACCACCAAACCAAAGGAAAGAACCCCCAGATCTGCGACCAACACCTAGTCAGGCAGCTAGGTATGGATGTCTTGGAAAGACAAGGCAAAAAGTAAAAGGATTGCAAGCTAACGCAAGTACTTCTGAAGTATCCCCCCTCCTCCCCATCTCTCTACAGTACTGCACCTCCTTGCCATGAAGAGGAAGTAATTATAGTAGCCACAATAATTTCAGGAGAATAGAGACTACAAATTCAGTATGAGAATGGATATTTCCTCTCATACCATCAATTTCTGCTGTCCAGTCCATCAGAAAGGCATATGTAAAAAAACCAACAAACCAAAAGACAAACAAACAAACTAAACCCGAGAAACCCCTCCAAGATGTTTCTTCCAAATGACTGTAACTCCAGGAACACGATTCATGTAGTTGTTGGTTGTCCTGAGCGGCCACATAGCAATTTCCAATCCTCTCAGAAGAGAGCTATGGAAAACGAGTGCCAAGCCACCATTCTGCTCTCATAAATGATACAGTTCTGTCCTTCCTCCCATGCCAATGTCAATTTCTACTTCTTTTATCCAACCACTCCTTCCAACACCTCACATAGCACCTGCTCAGCACTGCTTAACCACTCTGCAGGAGACTGTACTGTAAGAGATACTCCTTGAGATACAGCAAGGTATCCTGTGTTACCTTCCGCTTAGCTAATGTTTCACTGTTGTTAAAACATTTATTTCAAAAGAATTATGATTTGATACACTCTTTGTCTATCTGTGTTCTCCATTTTTATCTGATCTTGATGCAGTATAAACAGGATTTCTCTTACCTGCTTATTTTGTCAAAAACAACATGATTTAGATACTGAAATTCATGTAACATTACCTCTGGCAACTCATTAGTATCTTACCAGACTTCTCTCAGATCAATGCCTTTAACTGAATGTGTTTATGAACAAAAAAAACCACGGAACATTCTTGAAATAACAGACAAAAATAAGTTGTTATTTACAGGTAATATATATAACAAAACTACTATGATAGGCCTTTATACACTGTAACTGCAGTCAATTCTTGCATTGATTAAAAAAATTTCCTTAAACAGAAATTGTTCAGAATTATCCACTTGTCCTTACATGTGTATGTTGTGAGAAATAGAACAGCTTTTCACATTTCTAGAATTATCAGCGTAATTTACATTTTTTGCCCCCTAATATCAAGTGAAGATTTAAAGATGGTGCAAACTGGAACACAAAGACAAGTAGCTATGGACATTGAAATACAATCAATTTGGAACATATCAAGTGTTTAAGATATAAATGTGTGAGAAAAATCCCTAATATTTGGCATGATCCCCTTACCACCCACACCCAAAAGGTCAAAGCAAGACAGGCTTTTAAAGTAACAGTGATTATTGCATATTATATCTTTGGAGAAGCAGTGTTTTAACAAAAAATATTTTTAATGTAGTTGAAATGTAGACATATTTAGCTCAAGGAGGAAAGGAAAGTAGAGCACATAATAAGTAATGTTATCAAATCAATCCAGTTAATTTGTCCAGTCCTTGCTCTGAGTGATCTCCCATAGCTCAGGTAATCCAGTTGAGTCAATGGCTACTTCAGCAAGCGCAAGAGCAACGATCCAGGTTTACATGACCAAGTTCTCTTTTGCCAGAAGTCCTTCAGGAATCTTGGTCCTTAACTTATATTAACCCCTCAATTTAAGTGCTGACAAGTAAATTAACATACATTTCAAACGGATAAACAGGGAAAACATTTACCCTTTTTTTTTAAACCAGGATATACAAAAGACAATTTGCATAGTTACAATTCAAGCACAAGTCACTGTAAATAAGTACAAAAGCATTTATAAATTTGCTGCTGTTTGTGCCAGCCCAGTTAGATAGGTATGAATGTAAACTTGAAGGGATTGAGGAGAACAGTGTTTTCGCTTAAAAAATATGTAGAGAATGCTTTTCAAAGGTTTTAAAAAATATTTTCTGCAGCAGGAACAAACAGTTCAACCCCCAAAGAAAGCCATCCAAAATGCCCAAAGTCCTCCTATACAGCAGAGAAAGTTTGTTCATAGGCTTCAAACCTACATACAAAACGAGGCACTAGTTACGCTATTTTGGAATGTGTCCATAACCCTAACGTTTCAGTCCACCCCAAGGCTACCAAAACATTCTTCGCTTCTAACTCCCTAGGAAAACATATCTTCGGAAGGTGGTGCGTAAGAAAATCCAAGAAATGCATCATCTGCCTCTAGGACACTGGCATTAACAATGTTGTAATCAGAAGAAACACAGACTGAGTATGGGACCATTTCTTCTGTGAACACTGCATCAAAATTCCCAATATCGTCCGGTCCAACCTGGAAAACACAAAGATCTGTCAGTTGTCATATTAATAGGCTGTTTTAAACTTGTGCTTATCCTTCAGATTTTAAATTTAACTCTTAAGGCTGTCTACTTTATATTGTTCTATACAAGTACAGGCAATGTAAGAGACACCATCACAGCATCCCTGAAAATAGCTATTTAAAGGCTGGGGGTTGTTTTCTCCCTTTAGGCTGGAGTTTTGGCCAAATCCTGCACATCTTTATGATCTCATAAACCTAAAAAATATGTCTTTCTTAAATGACTAGAGATTAGTCATTTTAGTTAGGGAGATGCAAACACTAACACACCCTCAAAAAAAACTCCACAACAAAGCCAACAAACCCATCACCCAAAAAGCCACCCCAAACCCCATTAAAATAAAAAATCCCAAACCACACCAAATTATTTTTCTCTCTTTTCCATCAATAATACACGAAGTACTAAATTCTAGCTGTGATACTGTTGTTATAATAGATCAGCTTCCCAGTAAACACTTAAGAACTAAAGCATAGTAACATTTAGTCACAGAGAGAAGCAACAAGACAGCTAAGGCTTCTTCACCAGACATAGGCTCAACAAAAGGTGATGCTCTGATGTGACTGTAGGAAGGATTTCCTCCCTACTGTTGGTCCCCTCTCGCCCTGAGTATTTGGACAATCAGTCACAAGTTGTCACAGTTTAAACTGAGTTGCAGATTTTTTTTTAATCCTCCATTAAGTCTTAATAGCTATTAGAAAAGCAGGAAATCAGTCTTTTGGGAAGTCTTCAAACAAAAAGGCTATCTGTACTTTTTCTTTGATCTTCAGACCCCATAAAAATTGACAACACTTTGACAGAAACAAGCAGAATAAACAGTGATCTGTCAAACTGAGTTTTAAGTTAAAAAAAAAAAAAAAAAAAGGTATTACTGCTCAAAAGTGTGACTGCTCTAAAGGCCAACCAGCACTGCGCAGGGGGTTCCCATTCTTCACTGTTCTGAAACAAACATTCTTTGCAAATAGATGAGTCCTCAAAGGTGAAGATTTTCGAGGGATGAACTAAACCAGCAACAAGCACCTACCACATTAGGATTAAATGGTGGTGGAATCTTCTTCTGAAGAAGATCAGTCCAGCTGAGCGATTCAAAGAATGGATGCTTCTGAATTTCAAGCTGCAGTAAGGAATGAAGACTTTAGGTATCTCAGAAATCCATCCTGTGCATCACAGTAAATATTACTTCATCCTACACGCATGTAAAAAAGTTCTTATCTGCACATCCTTGTCAGTTTGTTTATTCACAGTCTACTTTGCAATAAAAGCTGTGGTTGGATAAAACAGCAATTAAGATTTGTTAGCTTGCCTCTAAACTGTTTCTTTTTAAGATCATACTTCCTGCTTTTAAGCTGTAAAATCAACCACCTTTAAGTCTACCACAGAACAACGTTTTCTGTTAGTATCCATTCCTGCCTTCATGTTTTGCTAGTTTTTGTAAAGCAGATCACTGTCTGAGAAGCAGCTGCTTCAACAACTCTGCAATATACTTGCTAGTTATGAACCAGCAAACAGCTATGCTAAATGCTACCATCCTTTCATCTTGTTCCACACCGTAAGAAAGTACAGTGTCCTAGTCTAAATGCTCAGTTACAAGGTCAACAGACTTATCTGTGCACCAAAGACTACGAAGATCTCACAATTAATGGATGGAGTACGTCCTTCTAAGACAATTCCTCATCACACAGTTCTGAAGACACTTATACTTTCTTGCATCAACAAAGTTTTTGTTGTTACACTGGGAAAACATTTGCCATGATTCTAAGGCTAAAAAAGAGCTGCTGTTTGCATGAAACTAATGTTCCTCTTTACCTGAAGACTGGTTTCCAAGTCACTGGTTAAACTGACGTTACCAGAAAACAGCCTTTTCTTTTGATTATTTCCCAGTTTCATGATGAAGAGTGAAACCTACCTTTGTACACCTTAGTGACTACTACACCAGCAGTTGTGTTGCCTTTGCTGGCAGGAACAGCAGCAACCAAGCTCAAAACATCTCTCAACAGTCATCCCTCTCTTATCACAAACAACTTTCAAGGACTGACCCCACCTGTGTCTTCAACAAAGAAATAAAAAGGAGCAAAACAAAGACAGACCCAGCAGTGCAATTTCTGTCCTGACCATTAATTCTGTGCTGTGCACATGAATTTGGTCATGTCCCTTTAAATGAAACAGGGTTTGATAAATTAGGACACTACTTACAAAATCTTCCCTTGCTCCAAGTCTGCTTTGCCGATCCTTCTCCAAGAGTTCTTCCAGGATAGACCAGGCTGTAAGACTGATTCCTGGGCGCAAGACCAGGGGTTTATGAAGAATATTCTCATACATCTCAGCAACGTCACGGCAGTAAAAAGGAGGCTAAAAAATACAAGTTATACATGAATTTGAAGCCACATTCAACATTGTTTCATGTGTATAATCAGTAAATGATTCTTTAAGACACACAAGCTGCTAGCAGTGAAGAAACCTACCAATTCTTAAGCCCTGCTGACTTCTAATTCAGTCATCCCCATTGCCAGATCTTTACACTCGTTAAGTTCCCACCCACCCACCTCTTCTCCTAACATGTTCTCACACTCAGATGTAGCTATAGATGTGATCCAGCTCCAGCTCCAGTTTCCACTGAACTTGACAGAAAAGAACAAGAGAGTGAGAAAACAATTCCCACTATCCCCTATCTCCCTATTTAAGGTCCTACAGGAGGAGATAAAACTCAACAAAACTAAGAGAACATATTGTTACTGGACTCATTACATATGACTAGAAGCAGCATAGTGAGATTTTTTTTGTTCCAGTGCTGCATCAAGAATTGGAAAAGCTAGGAGAAAACCTGGGACACCCAAGTAAAAAAAGTCTCTTATTTATTCCAGTATTTAGCAAGGGTTTACTTATGAGTTGGGTATTCTTTTATTGGGTATTTTCACTGTTGATTCAGTTTACTGTCTCAGTCCCTCAAAGTGATGATTACTTGTCTTCATCAGAGCTGATGCCTACAATTTTGCTTTTTGGCAAACTGCTGGACACCAAGAGGCAATGTAACACCCAAAAGAGAAAAACATGGGCAATGCTAACTACAAGACAATCTGTTCATTTAAGTGGAGTATTTCGTTATTATGCAAAAGTTAGCAACTTTAACAACACTCAAGGGTTACTTCAAATAAAGGAGGAGAGGGGAGGAAAGCAACTCCTACTCCCCACATATTAGGTACATACCAGCCCATAAAGCATTTCATAAAGAACTGCACCAAGGCACCACCAGTCTACTGTGTTGTCATAGGGCTGCTTTTTAATGACTTCTGGTGCAAGATACTAAAATAAAACAAACCACAAGTATTTTAGAGCATTAGGCTAGCACAAATAAAACACAGGTTTTAGTCACATCACAGTAAACACTTTCAGGAAAATTTCCTTCATAACAAGTGCAAAACTATGTAGTATTTATCTTGTCCTTCAACAAACCTGGCAAATACCTTCATCATCATCTGGTCATTTACCAAGTAGAACAGCAGTTTTCCCAACTGAAACAATACTTCCCACACACTATTGTTTTTTCAAACTGCTTTGCCACTTGTATGACAAAACTTGTTTTGCATTTCAGATTAGTTGCTGTGCTGTTGCAGAGGGAACAGCTCTCAGCAAGCTGGGCAACTAGCCATGCCTATTCTGCCATCCTAAGCCTGTACGTTCCCCATCCAGTACATAAAAATGAAACAAGAGGATATTAATTCTGCCTCAAATCTATCATCAGTGAGAAACTGTATGGCCTATATTAAGTTTCATTGCAAATCTCAATGAGGGCATGAGTTGTGAGTTGCTAAATTAGAGTTAAATAGGTATCACTTGACTGATTTCTGATAAGCATTCAGTACTGAATGACAATAATACCTGGTTTCCATCTGCCTTGCATGCATTCTACTCAGTGTCTCAGAGCTTACTAACACTGCAGCACAAGGACAGCCACTTCATAATACAACTATTCTTTGTAAGTACGTAGTATAAAATTTCTGTGGCTGGTTCATCAGCATCATATCAGTCCTTATCTACAGCACACATCTCAAAACAGGAGGATGCTCACTTCTATCATTCTAGTATCCAGATTCTGAAAGTAATTTACAAATAGATTACGGCATTGTCCCACAAGGCACAGACTGAAACTCAGTTTAAACAGACCAGTATTTCTTAAACTTTCTGTATATGTTAGTGCCCTCTAACTCATTTGTCTATAGGTGACCCTGCAAAAGCATGAAAAGTAGATAAAGTGTTTTGAAAGCAACTACTTAAGCTTCTTCTAATCCTTCATAACCTTCTTTGAGCTTTTTAGGTGTTGGAAGTCAAAAGGTAATTCATCTAGAATGTTTAGAATCATAGGAGTTCATTACACTTTTAGCAAGATTATGAAAGATTCAGATCTAACTCTTGGATTAGGAAGGCTAATACACAACTCCTATGTTTAGTCTCGATATTTCTAAGAACATTTATGAAGCAACAAGATGAGCATCCTCTTACGTTGCAATCCATGCAAATCCAAGTGTGAAGACTAAGCCTCTGACATGAGAAAACCCTCAGATTTTCTCAAATGGATCCAGAGTTACCAGTGTTCTATATCCTGTCCTTTGACCTTTCCCAAATACACAAACATGTTCACATTTACCACTCAGCTTCATGAATTTCTACCATGATTATAACCAGGATAAGTTGGCATATTTTGCTACCTGCATTTTTTTGTCCCGAGTTTAGCGTTTCAGCCAAACAAAACACCTCACTCATCCTCCAATGCCTTTCAAGGTCTGATAAACGTACTTTAAATTACAGAAAAGATTACCAAAGGTACTAATCTTGGCATTTCAGTGAATCCTTCGTATGTGTTCAAAACTTCCAGATTCTAAGTTTTCTCAGTAAAAAGTTTAATAGCTCAGTAAAAAGTTTAATAGCTCAGTCAGCAAGTTCCAAGTTTCATGTGTTTTCAATAATTTGCTCAAGAGTCACAAATTCTCTATAAGCTTACCAAAAATCCATGGCAGAATATGGTAAGCAGATTCATACTGACAAATCTGTAGCAGCTGTGACACAAGCTAACTGCCCTGTTTCTAGCTAGCAGTTAGGAGACACGTGAGGAAACAATGTTTGAAAAGAGCTGGAAAAACAGAGGAAGGAAGAGCTGATTTATGGTCATGTGGGTAGAAAGTAGCAGACATTTATTACTGCATATTAGTAAAAAGAACAAAGACTAGATCTGCAGGAAGCTTGTCTTTGGTTTCATGGAAGAGCTTGTTAAAAGAATGCAAATCTCTCAACAGTACAAAACACAGTATTTGATCTTCCATTTAGTTACACAAATATTAAAAATACTCAACAGGCATTAATTACAAATAAAATACCCCACAAAACTTGTCAACATACTTCTGGGGTCCCACAGAAAGTTGCAGTGGTATCAGAAGTTGCAATCCCTTCTTTACAAAGTCCAAAGTCTGTCAACACCACATGGCCCTGTTTAAAATAGAGTGGTATTTTAAAAACAGAACATGCACAACATGTAGATACACAGAAGTGTCAATTTTGTGAGAGAACATAGAAAGCCAGAAATAATCTTGCATACTTACTAGTGAATCTAGGAGAATGTTTTCTGGTTTTAAATCCCTATTTAAAAAGAAAAAAGTATTATTTCAAAGCAGCAGGCACAAGAGCAGAAAGCTTCAAGTTTTGGTGGAATTGTAATGTTCAGGTTTCCTCTAAGATTAATTCATGTAGTGGTTTATTATTCGGTAATTTGTCCCATTTTGAACTTCTGCAGGACAAGGAAATATTGCTGAAACTTACCTGTAGACTATGTTTATGGAGTGTAAGTAGCCCAGTGCACTGGCTATTTCAGCAGCATAAAATCTGGCTCTGTGCTCAGGAAAGGAACGTTCTCTTTGCAAGTGAAAGAACAGCTGTAAATATGCAAAGAGTAAAAAACATTACACAGACAAAACAATCAGGCTAATAACATGTAATTTTAACAGTAAATAGTAATTTATTTTGTTGTCCACTTAAAAAAAAAAAAGGGTTTTGCTGCATGACTTGGTCATTGCTTTACTCTCTTCCTTTCTTATCTTTTGCAGCTCAAAAATGGATAGTTAACTCAAACACATCCCCCTAAAGCCAGGACTAGTCAGAAGGAACTAGAGTAAACCACTGAGCTGTGAATACAAATTGGCAAGATTAAGTCATGCAAGATATCCTCCTAGCAGAACAGAACCCAGTGTCAAAGAAGAAACCTTTCATTTCTGTAAATGCTTGTATTCAAAGTTTTGTGTAATTCTTTACAGAACTGTATTCTGAAATAACCTAGATGTAGATCACTTTGGGAGATGTGTATTCCAAGCTAAACTACAAATTCTCTGAACTACAGAGAGTTGTCTGGTATCAAGTAATTTAAGCAAATACGAAGTCAAACCAAAGATTAAATCATAAACATACAGATTAAACTATACTGCACATTCAACTCCTAAAAATTTTAAGAAAACAAAAGTTTTCTGTTTTCTGTGTACAACATTTGAGAAAAACTAAAAAGTCATCTGAGCTTTCCAAGGTCTTTGATCAAATTTGAAAGCTCTTTTGAACCGTATTTTAGTTTGCCTGGAACAATACCAAACTAAGACGTGGCCAGGAATTCAGAGTAGAGCAGAACAGGAGTTTGCTAACACAGACTAAATTAGATGACAGTACATCAGGCAAGAGAAAGGCCCATCTTGTCCCAACTGTGACACAATGTAGTAAATTCAGTTCTCAGTTTCCTTCCTTCCCCTTTTGAAATATCAGCACCTCATAATGCAGATGCAACAGAAAGACAGTGTCACACAGTGAAAAATGTCAACATAAGATTAATCTGTAACAAGGGTAAATTTATGCAACTGTAAAATATAGTATTTGTATTTGATAGCCACGAATAAACCTGGGATTAAGTTGTTGATAAGAAGAGGAATAAGGTCTGTATAGCTATAGAGCTCTGTAGTAACAGCAGATAACAGGATTTTCAAAACTGGGAGAATGCTGATCATAGCCCACTGTAAAGCATCATTTTGCTCCTCCCACCTAGAGTCAGCAGAACAGACAGACTAAAATGCAAACACAACCACCACATACCTCTCCTCCATTAACAAAATCCAGGACAAAGTAAAGCTTTTCTGTTGTTTGGAATGAGTAATGTAACCCAACCAAAAATGGATGTTTCACGTTTTTCAAAAGCACATTACGTTCAGCCATTATATGTTTTTGCTGTAAGAAGTAAAGAGATCAATAAGTAAACAGGAATGATTTTGTAATTAAGGAAAAAAAAAGGGAGTTGGGTGGAGAAATTCTATTTCTTTTAACCTCTTTCCTATTGAGAACAATTTTTTTCTGCAACACTTTGACAGCATAGTATTTCCCATCCAGTTTTCGTTTTGCAAGAAGCACCTGTGAAATTGAAAAGAAAAAAGAAATGTGATCACTGCCATTCACATTCTGCTAGCAATAATTTCATCATTCCAGCATAACTGGGAAGTATTCATACTATTTTTTCACAGTAGAGTTTATTTGCTTCTAATATAATCAATCAACAATTGAATTGTCAGCAGAGTGAGCTTACACTTCAGTAAAATTCTGTCATGGCAGTGGTATTGTGAAAGACTGAATTATAACACTCATTTTCCATGACCTGTTAAATCTCTATCAAGATCAATGTCAGCCTTTTGGTTTTTTTTTTTGATAAAACAACAACTTGAAAAATAATCCAAACCCAGAGATTTCAAGAGGGATTCTCTGTGGCATCTTTCTAAAATATCAATATATAAGTCATTTTTCCATGGGCTGTTGCTTACACTGCTCCATAGCATTAGGGGTTTCACAAAACAGTCCATGACAACAAGAGGAAAAGCACGATTCGTGCTCCAGCTGCTGCCCAAGCAGAGGGGTACCTCCCTTCCTCTCTGGGGGAAACAGAGGATCCCTACTGCTCTAATGAGAAAGGGAAACACTCCCTTTTGTTACTCCCAACAAGTGACTGAGGCAGCCAACAGCCACACCAGGGAAAAAATGGCAGGGCCATAAAGCAGCGGCAACAGGGATCCAATACTGCACTTCATGTGCCACCCTGGACTGACACCACTTCCAAAACCTCTGTCCAAGTCTCTAGCCAATAGTTACTATGCACAAGAAACCCACTAGCATCCTTGCACCAGGGTAAGACACAGTAATAAAAGCTCACCTTGCCAAAGCTGCCTTTCCCAATAACTTTCAGGAAATCAAAGTCTGTTGGTTTAGCACTGAAAGATATTTAGGAAGGAAACAGGTCATCGGGGTAGAAATTACAAGCTTTATAGCTGTACATCAGTCTAGTGTAACACCTGAGTTGCAATGTGAGAACAGCCTGTTAGCACCCTCCTTTTCTTCACTCCACCCAACACTCAAGCTTCTGCAGACCTGCCCTTGGAGACAAAGACTCCTCTTCATTTTGCAATTCCATTTTCCTCCAGTGAAAGTGTTCAAGTTGCATCCTTTGAGTTTGTTTTATTTAGTGAGTTAAGATATAAAGGAGAACCAAGACTGTTCTTTTATTCTCCACAGTATAGTTTCTTGTCATTTTTAAGTCTCCATTTCCCCATTACTTTTCTTGGGGCTAATTGCTTATTTGCAGGGGCCCAAGTGGATTCTCAAGCTAACATAGGAAGGGCAGGCAAAATTTGTTATCTGTTCTCTCTTTGCGTATTCCATTCTTCCCTCCATCCATTCCTCCCTCATTTTAAATTTCAGCAAGAAGAGGGAGGCCCTAAAACATTCCTGTTCTGTCTTTGTAGGTATTTCACTCAGTTTTTCCACTTCACATCACCACTCCTTTCAGTTTTTCCCAGGATTCCCTTACTGTTTCCTGAATACAATTCAGAGATCCTTTTTTTGTCAGCAAAACAATTATCCATGTTTTCACATTCCAAAACAACAGTTACATCACCATACACCTTTCCATTTATTGCCCCTGAAGGGAAGTACTCTTAAATTTCATTTCTTACTGCAATCTATTAAGCACTTCCTCCTGCTAGTGCAGAACAAATCTGTGAGGAAAGCAGAACCAAAATAGCAGTAATCTCCTAGATGAGAAAAGCAGATCCACACACAACTGAGAACAGAAACTGCAGAGAAGACACGAGAGAAGCAAGTTGCGACTGCAGCAACTGGGTTTGTAGGTTTGCAGTATCAACAAGGCAAGCTGCTCCCCTGCCATGCATTCAAACAAACTTGTTTTCAGAAACTGGTCACATTCCCAAGCTGTGGGGCCACTCCCAAGGTCAGTCTAACTTTTCAGGTTTAAAATTAATTTTAATCCAATTTCATTACAATAAAAAAATTACACTAAATTGAATTACATTTTAATTCAATTTAATTGAAACCTACTGAGGATTTCCAGATGGTCCCAAGTTGATATTCTGTGAGGTAGAGTTTAACTGTTGGGAAAGACAAAGAGGTTTATTTGTAATACTTTTTAAAAAAAATCTCATATTTCAACCCATATTAATTTCAAAATACACTATTAATTTGCTCAATCCATACTTTTGCACTTGCTACATTAGAATTTTGAAGAGATCTAACATCCAGATTGGGAACATTGAAATATCTGGCTGTCATCACCTTGTCACAAATTATTTCTTCATACATCCCATTCAAGGATGAAGGTAATAAAATGATTATGTCCAGAAACAGAGGACAAGATCAGGAATAAAAATCTAAGAGTGTTTCAACAAACAACTTGTTCCTCATTCAGAACTTAACCCTTTCAGAATTTGCTCTCACAAATGTATTTTCTGCCTTTAATTTCAAATCTTACCAATAAAACAATTTAAAACCCACACTGTTTATGTAAGAGCAATTAATGAAAGACACAGTGCTTTTACAAACACAAAAGGGAACATTCTCCCCGCCCCAGGAAAAACATTACCAACCTTTTCTATCCTGACATTAAAGGTTAACTAACTCAATTCCAGGAATGACATGAATCTTACCAGTACACACCCAGGCAGCACTGGTAAATTACAGGGAGCGGAGGAAGCCGCTGTCATTTAGGTAATTTTCTCCATTTTGTTTTTGATTAAATAGAGCAGTATTTGTACCCTCATTGTAGTTCTGGACTTTATCAGAGAAGGATAAGCTGCACTCAAACACAAGTTACCTGAGGACAGGCTAGCAGGCAGCACAAAACAGTACTCTTATAGAAGCAGAGCATGGCCTGATAGCAGCATCAGGTGCTACTGCTCACTAGTAAGAGCCAACAGCACTGGGCACTTTATAAAAATCATAGAATTTTACGGATTGGAATGGACATTATAGATCATCTAGCCCCAACCCTCCCTGCCCTGGGCAGGGACAACTCCCCACCAGACCAGGTTACTCAAGGCCTTATTCCTGGCTTTGAACACTGCCAGGGCTGGGGCAAACCTCCCTGCCCTGGGCAACCTGTGCCAGTGTCTCACCACCCTCACAGTAAAAACTTTTTCCTAATATCTAAATTTCCTAAATTTCCCCGTTTTCAATTTGTACCTGAAACAATTCTTACAAATAAAACTACTGGAATGCTACTTTGTAAAAGATATTTTCTGAAGGCTTGTTTGTGTTCCCTGTTTTTTGGCTTTATCATTTACAGTAACCATGAGAAGGTGACTTTTCTACCAAGAAGTATGGGGTGCAAGCCACTATGCATTAGCTCTCTTCCTACTTTGAAATCTGTTGTGGCACGACACATTATTAATTTTCCACAGAAGGTTTGGATCATTCCACATTACTTAAAATACCTTTCAAAGGAGGAGGAAATCAGTATTTTAAATTAGAATTTTGCTGTATGTTCACAGTGCTGTCAAGCACTAAAAATCAAAAAAGGAACGAAGTCATTTCTTTGGAAATGAAGCTTTCAGAACACAGTAAATCTGCTGTGGATCACACATAAACCAAAACAACTCTTACATCTTTCACAGGCTGCATAAGAAGAGAAGTACAAAGATAACATCTGTATGCCAAGTAGTAAGTCATAGAGAAAACAAGCTTAAATATGGCACTTCTGCCTTCCTAGAAAGACTCCCTTTTTCAAACAGCACTGTTTCTGGAGGCTGTAAACTAATTTTCAGAAAATTCAGCAGTCATATAGTGGCTTTTGTGACAAAAGGAGCTTCAGACCTCACACAACGTTATATGTGAAATGAAATCAAATCCATCCTTGCTCCTCAGTGACTTTCAGAAAGGCTGCATTTCTTCCCCTGAGAGAATTCTATTTCTCCCTCTCTTTAAAAAATGAAGAACACACAAGCAAACAAAGAGACAATTAAACATTCGATTTCCCCTGCTCCTTGCCAGATGTTCTTAGCAAGAGTCTTGGAAGAGACTGCAAAAACTATGACAGTTAATCTAAGACTAAAGTTGTGTTTCTTTAACCCATATAGCAAGTGGACAGAGGCAGCAATCACTTTTGCCCCTTTCTGCAGTTCACAACTGACAGAAAAAAAGTTTACAGCCCACAGTGGAAGTGAGTTGTTAAAAAAAAGCAGGAAAGGGATTTATTGCAAAACCTACCAGTAATTTTCAGTAAATAATATACCTAAGATAGCCCTCAAAAGCTAAAATTTACAAGACTGTTCTATTCCTGTTTCATTACCTTTCGACTGCTCCTTTCGTCTTCATCTTCAGATGGATCTGACTGGTGTTTTGGGTTATCCATCTGAAGAAATGCTCTGACATCTGGGCTAGAAACAGAGTTACCTTCATTAGCACACCAATAATTTGCATGATTTTCAGCCATAACCACAGAGCATAAGATTAAACAGCAGCATACAGAGGAGTCACTCATCACAAAGTTCTGTATTTAACTTCTAGTAATTAAGGACTATGAACAAGCTATGCTTTTATAGCAACATAATTCAGCTGCTGAGTGTGTTACATACCGCACATAAATTTTTTCACTTGCATAAAAATGACATGTCGCAGTATATGTATGTGAAGGCGTCATAAATAAGTGCTCTGCAGAACTGCATTAAAAGGTAATTATCAGAAGAAAGCAGGAGATCTAACAAGCCAGCAACCACCAGGAAACCAACCTGCTTTCACAAAGAGTTTAAATTTTTTTTGAGATTTCTAAAATCCACTAAATAGTCCAATACAATACAGAATGAAATATATCATCTGTATCCCAAAGAAAGATATGTCAGTAACATTCCTGTTCCCATTCACTTTATAGTGCAAGATGGTGATCTTGTATTCCAACTGCCTGGACACTGACAGGACAGTGTTAAGAAATCCCTGCAACCAGCTGCAGGACACAAACTCTTCATGAACCAGCGAAAGAGTCTACAGACTTCCCACAGTGCCTATGGAGATATATTTTATCTTCAGCATCAGTTCCTAGCTCTGTCTTGGTGGGGCTGGGGGACAAGGACAGAGAAAGGAGGTAAAGTAAGAGAATTCCAAGAACCCACTCTGAGGAAGCAAGGCTTACCCCACAGTTCAAAAGAATGTAATGTCTTTCTTAAGCACAGAAGAGTGAGTAAAGAATAAACATAACACAACTGAGGCAAAATTAATTCCGAAACAAATGGGTATCATGTACAGCCTATATACTACTTGGCAAGATGACTTGAATCTTTGAAGTTCCTTCAGTTCGCCAAAAGGCAACCCCCTCCCCATCAAGGAAATCTTACCAGAATTTCAGAGATAAAGTTCTTTGAGAAGGACTCAGGGCAGTCACTGACGAGGAACTCTGCATTAGCCTTTCAGTACAAGAAAAGCACTAACTTACTATGGAGCTGCTCTTTTATCCTGTCCCTACAATACAGACAAAACAGATACACTGTCTTTGCTATTTTCAATCCATTTCACCCTCCACAGTTCTGTAGAGTGAGGATCAGAAGTAAGAGATGAGCTGTTTCTGACACTTCTCCAGCTCCTGGATTTCATATCAGCATTACTGAACCTAACTCATGTCCTGTGCTACCTGAGGCTCCCAGTCTCCCTCACTTACATTCTGTATTTCTAAACCCTCTCTGAAATCTGTGTCAGTTACCTTCAGCCTTTCAGGTTTAAAGTACAACAGGATGACTGTACACAATTTCTCACCATTATTTTCAGTTTAATTCTTCCCATCTTATATGAACTCCAAATTCTGATTTATTTCAGGGTCTGTCTTGTATCCTGAGGCCCAGGAAGACACAAATCACCGTGGCTTGAATATTGTGGTAATATTGGGTGATAATGCAATAATTTAAGTTTCAGAATCTTTGGGTACCATAAAATCGAGAATAAAAAGTTACGGCTAATGATATTCACTAGTCAGAACAACAGAACCAGACCTTAATTAGCTTTCAGCATTAATTAATCTGGCTGATTAAACAGAGCATGTTGTAACACATCTCAAATAGTTACTATAGTAACTTTGTCCATGACTAAATTCACAGCAGAAAAGAAAAATTAAAAAAAGAATAAATTCCCAGGAAAAGGCTGCTGTACAGTATCAGGGATTTCCACAATCTCCACAATCCATGGCAGCCACAATCACAACTGGTTAATGTTACACTGTTCACATTTGCAATTCTAAAAGCACTGCAAAGAACTAGTGATTGAAAATAAAAAGTCTAATGTACCAATTTCTTAGCCAGAATTACAGCATGTTATGCAAAATGCTACACAAAATTATAGGACTTCTATGCTGTATTAGCTCACATGTAGTAACTTGACATATTTTAAATTACATGCAAATTATACCTAGAATGACCTCACCTATGAAATTTCATGGATCAGAAGACCATTTAAAAAGGGATGCTCAATATACATAGTACATATACTACCAGAAAAAGTTGGATTTTGTCTAGATTTTCATGGTTGACTAAGTTTATTTTGTGGATTATCTCTGAAATACACGAAGGGGTGTCAAGCTCTGCTTACACACTGTTGCTTCTGTAATATTCATTCTCCATTAGTCTTCTTGCAAAACCAATATGATACCACGCACAAAAAAATTTTGGACACACACAGAAATATCCCCAAGGCCAACAAGTCACACCAATTTTGAAGCAAAATGGTAAAATTAATAGCTAAGACACGTTTAAGACACACTTTATTTAAATACTGGTGCCCAGCTCCTTCCTCTTCTTCACATAAGTCATTAAAAACAAAAATCAACCACTGCTATCTTTCTTCAGAAAGCAAAGGCTCAAGAAGACATGATGTGCAGTAGCATTTTAGAAGAGGACAGCTAATGTAATGCAAGGTTTGCTTTCCCCAACATGGACTGCAAGATCTTACAATTCAGGGGTTTCCCATTCACTTTCATATTAAGCAGATTTTGAAATTAGAAAAATCTAGTCACTCTGATTTTCCTCTGAGGAACAAGTGTAGACCCTCACTGCTCACTTACAGAACTGGTAACTCATTTCCCCACTGGTTGCAGGGTATTGTCATCCTTGAGCTCTTCAAGTGTTATGCAAATATTCTCATTCTCATTAAGGAGCTACTTTGGACTACTTAAAAATAACTACATTACATCTTTAATGCATCCTCTGTTTCACAGTTGGATTCAAACAGGTTTTGTTTGGACGTGTTCTGATAGACAATTAACTGCATTAGTATTTTAGTGAAACCCCACATTTGAGGGGTGAGCAGCCCACCCTCAACAGCTGCAGAGTGATTTAGGAGCCTCAGAGTGCTCAAGGAACAAACTCCCAGCTCCTATTAGGGACATCAGTCAGCATTAACAGATCTCTGTCCCTTCTGCCATCTTTTTTTGGAACATCTGAATTCTACCCATGAGAGCAAGCTGTCTATCACTTACAGTTAGCTGAGGAAATGCAGCTTGAGGCTAGTCCACTTAACTCCCAATTTGCTCTAAACCAATAATCTCACCCTGTGTTCTACCTGACAGTGACTGCAGGAAAATCCTTATCAACTGTTACAGGGTCTCTGATCACGCTAACACACTTTAGGTTTTTCTTGGTTTTATTATTGAGGAAAAAAAAGGTTTGGCTTTGATACAACATTCAAGAAACATTCCAGACCCAAAAGCAAAGTCCACTACAGGAGCAAAAAAAAAAAAAAAAAAACCAGAAGAAAAGAACCCCATAAAAATAAGAAGGTAGTGCTACATGTTTCAGAGAATAATGTAAACACTACCATCTTGGACACACTGAATCTGACCTTCTGCTTTTCAATTCAGATGTTCAGGTGCCTTCTGATCCAGAAATGAGGACATTGTCTTGAACCATTCTTAACTTTTTAGTGAAACAGTTTTCCTAGGCAGGACTTAAAACATATGACATCCTGATAGTGGTTTTAATGCTTAAAAGATGCAGTGGAAGGTGGACTTCCTCATAGTTCTGTGAGAGTACATAACCCACTGATTCTTCTTTGTACATCACTGACTTTACATAAGTTATTTTTCCTAATACCTAATTTAAGTAGCACATTAAAGCAAAACAGTCCAAGAAAGTAAGAATGTCGACTGTCTGTGAATAGTCAGTCACCACATATTTCTGAAGAAGTTGCTAGCAGACTTTACAAATAATCCCCAAATCACCAAGATCAAAGATTTGGTATTTCTTCACTAATAACACTCACTGGCACACAGAAAAGGTGACAGATTACACAGTTATTAATACAATTTGCTGCAATGGAGCACTGCAAAAAGTAAAAGGTAACTTCAAAAAAACCAAAGTACCCTGCAGTGATTAAAAGAGAAGCAACACAGAAATTACTATAAAATTAAATGCTTTTGCACTAAACTGTGAATTAAAGGCTTGTTCATTCTGCCACATCACTGTTTATTTAAGGGTGGGGAGGAGAACTGCACAAGAAAACCTTTGGTCTCTGTTTTGTTTTTACTGCAGAACTATAGTCAGTAAGCTTATTACTGAACACACTTTTAACAGCATCAAACACTGTCAGACCTATTTCTTAATACTGGTTTAAGTCAGTTTTAATATATCAGGTAAATACCATGTTAAAGAACACAGATTCAGCCACAGATGCATATTTTAAAAGTTCACAAAAATTTAAGGAGGCAGGTGGATTTGAGATCTGATGTGTTTTTAGCACACCATTTTGTGCTGTCCATAAAAAAAAAGTATCATTTTACCTTTGGACAGGTTTGTTCTGAGACAAAAATATTTGGTACTTGGACATACTGACAATCAAACAGAGGAGGAGATTGTGCTAAATAAAGCACAAAGTTTCCTAATGCAACAAAACCAATTAGATTTAGGTAATTAGTTAGTTTAAAGTGCTTTCTATTATTTCCCAAAGAACAGTACCATGTAGACAAACCTCATAGTATTTGTTCTGGTGGAAAAGTATCCCACCACCAAGACTTAGTTACTAATTTTTTTCCACTTATCATGAGGAAGTATATATAAAATGCTCATATTTCAGGTTAATAGGATATTAAATAGCTCATTCGTTGTGAAAAAAGAAAATCTGACTCCACACTGCAAACCACAGCAATATTCTGTTAGAGCTGTTTTTTTCTTGTGGGAAATGGGTAGTTTCACAGGCTACCACACTAAAGCCAAGCATAGAGCTTTGCAATTTTACTAGTTCAAGCATCATAGAAAGCTGCATGGATTTAGTTTAAACTGATCAGGTATAGATTTCAACTGAAAGAAGGTGGCAGTTTGCCCCCCAATCAGCTCACACACAGCAGCACTATCCTCCAGATCCAACTGGAGCCAACTCTAGCCTATTGCCATCTCTCATTCATTCAGTCACTGTCCCGCTGACGGTGCTGAACACACCTGCAGTTCTGCTGCTGGAACAATTCAGGTTCAAGCTTATTCATTTGCTTTAGGCACAGCAGCTTGATTATCCCAAACCATCTCAGCAGCTAATTAAGCTCCTTGGTTAGCAAGCTTAAAGCAAGTTCCAGAGTGTACACACACACACAAACTGCTCCAACAAAGAGGATGCAAGAAGTGACTGACTTAATCCCAGTGTGGCAGGAGCAAGTGGCAGCAGAGTTCTCTAATAGTACAGCCATGGGCAAAACAAACACCTGCCCTACAGCAACAGTTTACAGTGGAATCTGCACCCATTGAATTAAGAATAGCTAATTGCCTGCAAACTGATTTGTAGCTGTTTTCAGAAAACAAAAACATTTATATACTATTCTGTCTTTGGATTATTCCTGAAGGAATGGCCATATTAAAGTTTATTTATTATACTTTAGAGCTCTGGACAGGTAAAATATGTTTTCTGGTTAAATACTTAATTTGCAACTTTGTATTTAACATGTCTTTTCATCTCATGTCTTTTCAATAGTCCTTATAAAATAGAAATGGAACTACTTACTGGTTGCATAGCTCTGGCTGTCTAACTAAATTTTGAATGAATTCATTCAGTCCTGCTCTTCTCTGCTTAATAAAATCTGAAAAAAACAGATTTATTAGAATCATCAGTCAGCTTGTGAAAAAGACTTAATTTTCATATTTAGGATTTTTAGGACTTAAACAGCAGTTAAAAAGAGACTGGTCCATGACTGGTTCAGAACAGGATTGGTTCTACATATGAAAACTGCAAGCTTAAAACATTAAACTGAGGTGAGAGAGCAAATTTCAGTTTATCTGTAACACTACTTGAAAATGCAGAAAGCCAGGTGGACTGAAAGTACACTGAAGTGCTTCAGGAACAGTGTGTAATGACAGGGGGCTAACCTGTGCAGCCTTCGTTGCACGGGTGAGCCCTTCAGGACCTAAGTCCACAAAAATGAAAAACCCAACAACCCACAGGCAAAACTTCACATCAGATGCAAAAGCCAAGTTTTCACATGAACTGTCAACAAGCAGGATACTTCCATTATATGTGTATGGCAATGGGAAAGTTGAGCAATTCATCCTGCCTGCAGGCACCCAAGTATAGCCATTAAAGGTAACTATGTAAAATACTTTCCTTTTAACTTTGGACATCATCTCCAACATTAAAAAAATCATCCTCAGAATCCCCACCCTCAACCAAAGCTTAAGACATGTAACTTTTCTGTAGCAGAATGGAAAGATACCCAAAGAAATTGGAACAGAAAGAGAGCTGTAACGTGAAATAAAGTGGAAAACAGAGTAATTTTGTCTTTCTTTCATTACGCATATCAACACTAATTTGTATGGAAAGAGAACATTTAACTTAGGAATTATTTAAGGTGTTATTTAATGTATTCTAATGACCTTATCACATACAGATTACTGACAGTTACTAACATTTTAAGTTACAACTAAGTTTTGATTAAAAGTTGTATTTCAAATGTTAAGAAAAATGTTCATATTATTTCAGGAGTATAATCCCTAAACCCATGCTGGGGTGTTTAATAATTCCAAGTTACAGACATCGAGCAGGAAAGTAAATTTGCATACAGATGTTATGTGAGTCACCAATATCAGCAGTTTCAGTGGGGCAGATGTACAGTGCCATCGGTGTAAGCCTACAGAGCTATCCCTGATGTTGAAAATATAACACCCAAAACATCTGAAATTTTCAGGTTCTATATTGGCTGGTTTCAGTGATTCTTCTCTGTCCCATTTTTTTCAAGTTAAGACAAGATGAATTTTGGAATAACCCAACTGTCAATAAAAATGGAGCATTTAAATGACAACATATGTTATGACAGTATTTTTGGTAGACATGGGGAAGGGGGATGTAAAGATTTCACCCTGCTGCATTCCAGTGCAATAGTACAAGGCTGCAAAACCACGGATGGATTACTGAAGTATTTGTAAAATGTGTGACTTGTTTCAGAAGCCAGCAGAAACATTACATCAAAGCTTCAATAAATCAGTGTTAAGATAAAGAAGTATTTGCATAAGCATCACGGCTCCATCTCCACCCTGCCCCCCAGCGTGACACATCTTGAGAACCATTGCGTTTCTCATGCTTCAAGGATTTCAGCACAGTTCACAGAAATTTAAAACAAGCCTGAGGACTTTGTTTTACATACATTATTTTAATAAAGCTTTAGTTGAGGGTTTTTTCCCCATTAAAACTCCAGTTTCCTAAATTTGACTCCAAGAAATCCACCTGCACATTTGGCTGTACAGCAAACCAGACTGCATGACATTACTGGTCTTCAGCCAGCTCTGAGAATCCCAAGGTCAGAAGGAAAAAAAAGGGAAGGAACCAAACCAAAACAAAAAGTCCCTGTAGACACAATACACGTAGAACTTTTGGCAATCATTTACCTCTTAATCAGAAGAGAACATCAGTGCTTGGATACTTGTATTTGATTACTTTAATTAAAGAAAAAGGGACTTTCACATCAGGATCCAAATGATTAACTGTAACTGCCAAAAATTAGATTTGCTTTAAAAACCCAAAAACTGCACATCCTGAGAGTTTGACAGCTTTGGATCCATTTGTTCCTCAGCAAAGGAGAAAATGAAATGACTGAAACAGGTGCAGGACGAGGTGAAACTACAAACACAGCCTCATCACATCAGCAAACCAGGGGACGGTGAGAGGGTCCCAATGACCATCGGGAAAACCCTTAAGTAAAAACAGCCTGAAGGAAAGGTGTGAACACAGAGCAATGGCCTGGCCTCCCCACTGCCCTCTGTATTCATTCCTGGTGCCACCTAGGCTAATCAATACACTTCACAAGTGACTTTTTCATTAGCATTTTGCTGTGTACAGAGCAAGCTAAATTGGGACCTATCACTGGTAACTGGATCACATGTTCACATCAGACAGGCTTCCTGTTGTTGTTCGAACTACAGAAGAGGTTTGTTTTCATCTGTACAAGGAAGCACATTTAGATACAGAGAGTTCAAAAGTCCCCAAAGATAAATCCTTTAGTTACTTCATTTTTCAGAGGTGGTGGTGGGGGAAGTCACAAAAACGAAGTTTAAAACTGACTAGGCATACACTTAGAAGAGTCTTGGGTTTGGCTTTTGCTTTCATAGGAGAGCAATTACACCTGACATTTCAGAACCTCTCACAATCCTGAATAGAGGAGGGTTGGGAGGAGCTACAGTCTTCAGTGCAAGAGGGGAACTGGGCAACTAAGCAATACTTTGTTCACTATCGTAAGGCAGAATGTCTACCTACACCTGTTCCTGCTCTTGACTGAAGCATGACTAAACTTTGGTTTAGTCACTGTTTTGAGGACTGGTGTAAAACTCATCTAAGATAGCTTCTTGTAGGCTGGAATAGATCAATTTTCATATAAAGAAGCTGACAGAATGAATAACAAGATGATAACTTACCAGGATCAAAATTATCTCCAAATATTCTTTTAGCTGGAATCTTCAGGTTCATGGTGGGAAATTGCTTCTTTAGCTGAAAACAACACACATACAATTGGATTGTGCTTAGACATCAAAGTACCTAGAAATAATTGCATTTTGTTTGTTTTCTGATGAACAGTTTGAACACCTGATTATTAGTAATTCTGCTCCTCTCTGCCATCTCCTCTAGTCATACACTTGGGGGATAAAAACAAGCCCAGAACAACCTGTACTCAGCTTGTTTGCACCAGACATACCCTTTTCAATTCAAAGGCCATCTCATCTTCATCTTTTGACTACTGCAGCAATACTGCCAAACTGATTTTCCGCTTCCCCCAGGTTAAAAAACGTAGACTAGAATTTCAGTGTTGTTTTATCTTCCTCTTTTCTTCCTTCCCCCATCAATTCCAAGCAACTGTTGCTTACCGTATTGTAGAGTTTGTCAAACTCTGCATATCGTCTGAGGACAAACCATTCATTTCTGCCAACGGAGACCAACACTTTGTAAACCTGCAGTAACAAAGATAAACTTGTTATCTATAAAGTAATAGACAAAGTTTAATAAACCCTTCAAGTTTTAATCCTGCAGTGGAAATAAGCGCAGGCTGTTAAATGCACTTGCTGAGCTTTGTATTTCTTACAGCTAGGTCATGGAGACATCAACAGAAATCATTAAAAGAATGCTGTATTTTACAGAAACAATTTTAAACACCAGGTTTAAAAGCAAAAACTAACACCAAAGTTAATTTATTGGAGTTTTATAAATTAGTTTATATCCAACAAGAACACTTGACCATCAGATAGTGTTAGATTAAAATTTACGATAAAATTTGTTAACAACCTGATAATCCATTGGAAATAGCAATATTAAAGAAGTAAAGCATTTAAATACTGAAGAATGCCTTGACCAAAACCTAAAGAGAAAGTCCATATGGAAAGCAGTTACAAAGACAACTGTTCCATTCAACATTTTGAACACAGAAGGATTCTGGCAGATGACACAATTGCTCAGGGAGGAAAAAATGGTGCTGTGGCTGAAATACAGCACAAGTTACATAATACACAGCACTGAGGTGAAGGAAGCTGTAGTTGGAGCCTGCAGCTCAGTTCTGGCCATTCAAATCCCATGGCAGCATAGGACTCCAGTTAACTAGACAGACTGTCAGTCCTTGGATTCATAAATCTGGTTGACAGCTGTGTGTCCAGCAGGGTTCTCCCGTCTCTTAGGCAATTAGTTTTTCTCCCTTCTCTACCTCCTTGTACTTCCAGAAGGAGCCTGGCTATTCCTTCAGGGCAGGAGATAGGCACAGCAAGGACATGAGTGCAGAAGGCTGCTAATTCCCAATGTAGAAAACTGGACCAATGCCCCAGTCTCCCTTCTGGCCTGCAGCAGCAGCTTACCTCTCTAACTCCCACAGGGGAAGAGGCAGCCACCACCATCCGTTCCTCAGCCTGAGATTTGCATTCATGCTATGTTAACTGCTCAAATAAGCTGTTCCAGTCTCAGTCCCCGGGGAACACAGGAAGCTGGATGGAAGCATCCAGCAGAATGCTGATAAGACTTTGCTTAGAAAACTAGATTTCCCTTATACTGCTGAACAAGCATGAGCATAAACCTATGTGCACACCTTCCAGAGCTTTCCTACACTGTGAACGGCAAAAGCGTAAGCTGCAAAGACTTAAGCACTATCCTCCTGAACTGCATATTTTATACAGCAATCAAGTCCTGCAAGTAATGTTCAAACACACCACTCCTTCACTCCCCATGACTGCATGGTAGATCGATGCCAACACGCTTAAGCAGCAGGCCGTGGACTTCTTAAATTAGCCAGGTAGAATGCACAGATTGCAAAGTGCACAGGCAAGCATAACTCAGGATACAAGATAATATCCACCTCCTTGGCAACCACAAAATTAAAACAGCTTTGTTCTCAAAGTAGGTAGCTGTAGAACAATGATACAATCAACGTTTTTTACACGGGAGAGCATAAAAACCCATATGAGGTCATCCCGTTCACACCATCACCAAAGCTCTTGCATACCCAACAAAGGAAAATCTCCAAGCTCAACAATCATGGAAGCACTGAGTGGTAAGAATCCATATGACATCCATACAGAAGTTTGGTAAAACCAAAAAACATAACATGTCTTTGGGCAGTATTACTACTCTCAGTTCCACCTATGTACTGATTTAGAGAGATCTGCAATGCCTGTTTCTAGCAAGGTGGTGGTGGTTAACCTAGCCTTATTTAGATAGTAACCTTTTAAAATCTAATCATTCCTAACCCAAAATTAGTCTTAGAAAACTCCCAAAACATAGGTAAAATGCAACCACAACTTGAAATACATGGATAAATAATGCAAGGCTTTGGAAAAGAAAAAAGAAAGAAACAGAATTCCTGAAAACATAACCACTGTCTATCTTCCTAGACACAGACAATACAGGGTCCAGCTATTTCCATAACTGGATGCAATAGGTTTCTTCACCGAAGTCATCACTGAAATTAAGAAGTCTTTGACTCTGCTATGATAGGTCATGCTCCTGGATTAAACATTTAATTTTTACTAAACAATAAAAAAGCAGGATGTTTTCCAATTTCAAGAGAGCAAGTATTGAAAAATTAAAGAAACTATTTAAGTGTCAACAAATGAAAAAAAAATTTCCAAAGGGTTGGGGATTAACATTATGTATCACAGGTCTGAGATCAAGCTTCCAGATTTAATCAGACAAACAGCACCCTTGAAAGAGATTTTTTAATAAGCCTGTATATCATGGGGGTGTGAAGGGAGAAGAGAACAGGTCAGAAGAGAAAAATTAAGCCTCAGACATCAAACAGCATAGGGATAAAAGTGAGAAACCCAAAATAAAGCTATTTGTCAAAACAGGCAAAAGAATGACCCACTCTGCAGCAAGGACATAACCGCAATTAACATAGCCTAGATATGGTCCAAAGCAATACAATATTTTGCTCTTTTTATAAATAAAGTGAATGCTGAATCTTCAGAAAAGGGCAGGAAGTGAACTAGAGTAGATATACATAAAGGCTAGTTACCACAAATTAAGTGGATGCAAAAAAGCTTCCCTGCCAGAACCCATGAAAAATTCCAGCATCAAACTGTTGCCAAGAAAAGAAAAGTGTTGGTAGTAAATACATCAAAAGTATGCAGTATGTAACAAAACCAAATCAAATGTTCAATAAAAGGTCATGAAAAAGCTCAGGAGGAATGAAGAGTTCACTTGCAAAGACAAAACTGAAAAGCTTGATTTGATGATCAGAATGAGAACTGCACGGAGAGATAATTGTTTTTTAAAATGCTTCATCAGAGCAAGTGTGGGGAAAAAAGAAGAGCTAGCAAAAGCTAAGCTGTACATACTTGTCTTGTTTCCATGCCAGCATTAAGTGAGCCACTGAAACGTTTGAGCTGAAATTCATAGTTTCTATTCAGACCAGGAAGATTCTAGAATAGTCTCAGAATCAGTAGTGATACATACTTGTAATCAAGGGCAAGGTGAAGATTATACAACACAATCACCTGAACTTGTTCCCAGCCTTTATCACTTTGACCTTTCATTTCACCCTGAAGTTCTTACTGCTCTTTATGGAGACGGCACTAACATGACCATCAAAAGCAGTTATACCCACCACAGGTTTGTTAAGAGCTGTTCTCCCCCACACCCCTCTTTTGCTCCCTACCAAAGTACTGGCAGGATCCAGTCACTACCACACAGCTACAAAAGAGGGGACACAGTAAAAGCATCAACACATGCTGGAATTCACAGTTCCTTCCATGAAGCGTAGTATGACCCTCACTTCTGTTATCAAATCCTAAAATATATGTGATAATCCTCAAAAGCTTGGCTGTGAAAAGCAGTTCTTGCCAAGCTGCTAATTACTCCCCGATGCTGAAAGCAGAACTCAGCATGACAAAGTGTACCTCTGCAGAGTGCAAGATTGCTTCCCCTCTCCTCCCTCACCCCTCAATTTCTGAAGTTTTCTACTCTCACTTGTACAGCTTTCTAAAGGCCAAGCCCCCAGAAAGTGCCTCTATGTTGCTCAGGTTGTCTCAGAGATCTTTAGGTAAAACGACCTGGAAATCACAACACTAGTATGTACCACCCTGGCACATTTTAACACTGCCAGCACTGAGCCAACAAAACAAACCTGTTTTGCTTAGGTTCAGACTTTCATGAAGGATCTCCTGCTCACTCGAGTTTCACATACATGCAGCAGGTGATTAGTCAAGTTTCTTTTGTTTATTCCCTTTACTAACACACTCCTTCCCCAAATTACACCTTGATACACTTGTAGAATCAAACATTATTCTTCTCTGAGGAAGAGAGGTGAAGAGGAACGGCAGATATGGAACTCATAGTAAACCTTTGTTTATTTGCATACTTCAGACAGCAACTGGGTCTAAGGCTGTTTGCATTCCGCATCTGAAGAGTGACTAATTCGCTCAGGGGAAAAAAAAAAAGCTTGGAGGAAGTTGCACAAGAGCAATGAAATAGTTTCAGCTTTTAAAGTAAGTATTATAATGTTGTCATTTGGGGTTATATACAAGCAAAACAAAAATCCATACCACACTACTGTATTTTTCAGCATGCAATGCAAAGAATTTCCCACAGAATGAGAAGATTTCACTTCCAGAAAGTCAAACAGGGAGGCAAAGAAAGGAAGGAGGAGGGGAATGACAAGGAGTGGAAATGAGAACAGGATAAGAAAAAACTCATAGGCATTAGAATCAGAAAAAAGGAAGGAAGACAGAAAAAAAGGTTTTGAAAAAATCTGATGTCTATTTTTTCATTTTACATAAAAATTACAACAGTATAATAGGATATCTATGAGAAATGGCCATTAAAAACCCCACAAAAACAAACAAATCCACAAAAAGCCAAATCCACACTTTAATCCTTTACAAAATAAATGTTGTCATGAAAAAATTGTGTAGAATGCCAAAAAGGGTACAAAAATGTTATTCCTGCGTTTGGACACTTAGGTATATCACATGAGAAAATGCTGCTATTTGGGGGTAAGAATACCAGAACTTTGTAAAGTCAAGTTCTTTTTGCAGTAAACACTGTAAAACATTCACAACTTCTCACACTGGACTATGGCCAGTACTCATGAGAGCAAGGAAACAGATTTCCATAAACCTGCTGAAAATAATACCAAGCTTAGTAGCAGGGGAAGAAAGAAAGCAGCACTTCTCAGCACCAATAGCCTATGTACATGCCCACAGTGCTTACACTCTTACATACTTACAGTAAATCTTTTCTTCTTCTCTCTGTGCTCATCAGAGCTGGGAATGCTAACGCTTGGGCAGCTTTCTTTGTGATCCATTGTATGTTCCTTTTGACAAATTTGTTACAGGACTCTGCTTCGGGTGTTGCAATCAGAAGAGATCTTCAACGGTATTGATCCAGGACACACAGAGTTTCTTGAGGAAATGTGAATTCCATCATGTAATCTTAAAGTGAACATAAAAGGAAAATTAAGGATAGGAACACTTAACCCACGGCGCTAAAAACCTGTGTGACAAGAACTTCTCCTGGCAGGAAATGCACATTAATATGCACGTATAAAGCCACAACCATTACTATTTTGTAAACTTGCATGCTTGTGGGTCCTTTGTTGTTTCACTGAAATCACTCACATCCTCCAAGAACACAAGTGCATCCAAAAGATCATTGAGTTGTGTAGACACACTGGAAACAGATTTGGGCCCACTACAGACAATACTTTGAAGGAACAAAAATAGGGCATGGAGAAATAATTGAAGATGACAACTTGGTATCAGACATCTGAGAAATGCCACCAACTTGTACATTCAGAACAGTTTATTTCAAAACCAAAGGTTTTCAACTGTTTGTACCAGAGGGCATTTCAGGTTTGTCAGAACATGCTGAGTACATTTAAATATCACATCAGAGATGAAAGATGACATGAGAAAATCCATTTTTTCATGTGAATTTTAGAGAGGGACACAGGCAGCATCATGTGTACGTCTGAGTATTTACCTTCCCTGCCTCTCTTCCCCCATACGTGACATACTTTGTGTTTAGCAGAACAGTAAGGTCACTCACTCCCTTCAGTGGAACACTTAGCTTCCTTGCAGAACATGGAGAAGGGCACAAGACAAGAAATTGAGAATAAAGCCATCAAAAAGGCAGAGAGGTGAGTATTAAGTAGATTCCTCTTCACTCACTGAGGAACAGTATCTCTTCACATCTGCCTTGAGCACAACCAAATTGTTTACTGGACCCCACTGCAAACAACAGCAACTTCAGCACTACCCAAGAGAAGCTGAAATTAATGCTCTTAAGACTAATGCTCTTAAGAACTGTTCCCCCCTGCACCCATCTCTTGCTCCCTACCAAAGTACTGACAGCATCCAGTCACTACCACACAGCTACAAAAGAGGGGACACAGTAAAAGCACCAACGACCCTCACTTCTGTTATCAAATCCTGAAATACATGCAGTAATCCTCAAAAGCTTGGCTTCAGAAGGTTACAGGCTAAAAGGTTAACACTGAGGCCAGTGCTGTCCAGAAACAGCTATGACTTTCAAGCTGCTATGGCACCTAGGCCTGAACCAGGGAAAGGCACAGCCAAAGTCAGAGGAGAGCAGAAATCACTGGTCCTCCTGTCACAGTTTGAAGCCTCTCCGTGGTGCCTGTCAAAATACCTACAATACTGTGCTCAGGCCTGCACAGCACAGTCATGTGAAATGTTTTACTGAACACAGCACAGCTTTTACAACAGTATGTGTCTGATCAACTTAAACAGATGAGAAAAGTGTTTTAGAAAGAGGTGACCTCAGTTCTCTTCAAAACAGCCAGAGGAAAAAGGAGCGCCCAGTTCAGCATTAACTCCCTATTTTCTTAAAACAGGGAAGTATAAAAGTGAGCTCTATATTTCATATAATAAATTTTCAAAGAGCACAAACTAATCCAGTGCAATTCTGCTATTAGAGAGACACCCATATTTATGTTGGCACAAAGGCCAAAGCCCCTGGAATCCAGTGAAAAGATTTCTTGATACCCAACTAGTCTCAGTAAGTTAACTGACTATTTTTCTTGCTCTCCAGAGCCAAATCATCTCTCTGGTTCAAACTTCATGCTGTTATTCCTCCTGTAGCTATTTAAAATTGAGCAATTTTCAATAATCTATATGGTGACTTTAAACAAAAAGGAATGTTTGAAACCACTGTAATCACAACTAAATGGCAGATCATCCATACTGCAACACATTCAGAGAATTATTTTTAGTTCTATCCGCATGTACCTTAATTTGACTGTTCCCTACTTCAGTGGTCAGGTAATCATAGGGTTAAGCAGGGTTAAGCTTCTCCTCCACCTTTATTAGACTACAACACAGCTCATCCAAGCCAGTTACACAGACCTTGAGTTTCAAATTGGTTTCTCTTTTCCTCTGGCAAGCCACTGTGAAAAGCTTTATTACAACAAGGCACAGTTCCTATTTTCCACAATTTTATACTGGCATGAGATTAAGAGTGTTCTGCACCCACTGCCACACACTAAGAGATCTAAAGGTTAGCTGTGCTCTTCTCCATCGTAAGAGGTCCACCAAAACAGTCAATAGGCACCACTTCCAGTAAGTGTTTCACTAAGCTTAGACTTTACCAAGCACCTGTGTCAATCTTTAGCCACTTCAGGTCCAGCGTCAGGGACTGAGCACAAGTCTCTGTGTCTTATCTGTCTTCCTGCTCATCACAGAAAAACAAGTAAAGCTTTAAAATGGATTAGGTGTTCCCTGATTAATATCACTCACTGTCTTTCTCCTCGTGTAAACTGACATTCTTTACAAAGGCTCCTAACGTACTTGCCCTCATTCTCACAGTATGGGCTGTATTTCTCTCATCGCTTTCATTTTCTGTTCTTAGTGTCAGAGTTTTAAATGTCAGGACAGGATTAAAAGTTGCAGTCTTGGAAGACTGAGCTTTATTTCATATCTGAAGTTGAAAGATCTACCAAAAACAAAAGGAGGAAGTGTCAACCAGATTAATTCAGGAAGAGTTTATTCATTGTACTGGGGAGAAGGAGAATAAATCATCTGAGAAGCTGAAACTGTAATGTTCCTATTTCTTTCTTTAAGCTGCCTGGCAGATCACTGGCTATGATTATTTTCTTTCCCTGAGGCATCTCCTCTGAGCTGTGCCTGGGTCACCAACACTAAGCTGAACTGACAAACTGGGAAGAAATGCATTTTCCATTTGGCACTAAGCTCCAGCGGATCAGAGCTTTCTTTCAATTTCCATTTGCCTTGAGCCTATCAGCTCTTGAGAGCTTCTTATATCTGAACTGTAGGTCTGACTGTACAAATAGGGGTAGACTTGCCTTAATCTTGACCATGCTGTAGTCAGGAACACAGCTGTAGTCTTAGTAACAAGTAAAACTACTAATGCTGTGATAACTACAGGAAGTAATAACAGAGTGAACAGCAGAGACATATTTTTATCCACAGCTTCAACAGTGGAAACTGCAGTGTCCTGAAGGATGCCAGATATGAGTGAATTTAACAGACACTGTCAGCTGAGAAGTCTCTACCTCTGGTTACAGCTTTTGCTGTAACTAAGAACAAGCAGCCCCTGGCCTCAACTTTGATAACAGACAGAAAGGAAAAGGAACTTTAGAAAACTATGTAGCAAAATAAATCCCCTCAAACCATACATACTTGGGCACTAGCAAAAGAGCATGCAGGTAATGCAAGACAGGTTAATGCTGAGACCAGTGTTGTCCAGAAACAGCTACAGCTTTTAAGCTGCCACAGTATCTAGGCCTGAAACAGGGAAAGGCACAGCCAAAGCCAGAGGAGAACAGAAATCACTGGTCCTCCTGTCACAGTTTCAAGCCTATCAACAGCTACACTGTGCCTTCCCTCCATGGTGCTTGTCAAAAAGCAAGCACTATTTTCACCATTTCCTGCAGGAAGCTACAACAACATCAACTTTCAGGCTGACCCTTGCCTCTGGTGAAGTAAGAAGAACGTAACTCTGACACCACAAGAGCATACACAAATGTACTACACCCACAAATGAATGCCTCACAATAAAATTCTTTGTGCAGCCTCCTAATAGCTACATGCACAAGCAAACATTACGTACTTTAGTGATACGTGGCAGCCTCCTTTTACTCCTTTCTACATAAGGTAGACTCAAACTGCATTAGGAAAGGTTTCTGAAGTTTAATCAGACTTTTATTCTGTACTGCAACATTTTCTTTTTTAAATGGTAATGGCCTGAAGATGATACCACTGTATAACCAAAGACCCCTGTTCTGTGTGCTTAAGCTTCAATCTCTGCCCAGAATATCAAAACTAGATTAGGAAACTGTGTACTCACCTACTGCCTCTCTGGCTGCAGCCAAACTGCCTTAACTGCCTCTAAGGCCAAGGCAGATCCAATGTCATACTCACTCTGACTCTTTGAAAAACACAAGGGAAGCTGAGACAAAACCAGCCAAAAAACCCAAAAGACTGTCTCCCTGCAAGCATGCTTGGAGGAATCATCAGGAGCCACACTCATGCACTGGAATAGAATAGGCACTTCCCTATACACTAATCATCTGCCTAGAAAGACTTACTCTTAAGACTGAGTCACCAGTAAAACCAGCTGCTGAAAATCCCACCTGTGATTCCAATTACAGAAAGAACCTGCATATAAAGAAACATAAAGCAAGATACAGGAGACAGTCCTATTATTTGCTACAAATGTTACCCTATTTCCTTATAACTCCAGAGAAAGTATCAACTTTGGTATACTTTTCATCACCCCCTCAGTCCTCTCCACAAATATCCTGGTAATGGCTCAACATACCACTGGACCTTACACAATCTTGGAGAAAACCCAGAAAGTCAACTTTTTCTCAACCCCTGTATGAAGAAATAGTATCCCACTCTCTTGTTATCAGACAGGCAGCTGACACACAGGAAACAGGAGACAAGACATTTGGAATCCAGTGCAACAGAAATACAGGATGAGAGCCAGGGACTGCACACAAAGTGATACTCTTTAGAAAAAGTCAAAAGCAAAACACAGACTGCTAACCTGTAAAGAGAGATGGATGGCCAGAAGCTGTTGAATAACTAGGTTCTGGAGACAACAGGTTTCACAAAAGCCATCTTTTTAAATATCACACACACAGGGTTTTAAACACCAATGCAGACCTCTAGAAATATTCCAGCTGAAGGGAAAAAAAAAAGAGCACTAACCAAAATATTTGGGTCAATCCTTGGCTTATCTCCACACTCCCTTCTAACTACAATTTTAGAGGAGAATTGAGAATTCAGACACTGGTATAAAGGAAAAAGCCTGTTCCCCGTTTACACATCCACCCACAACGTAGCAGTTTTAAACATCTCTAGTAGCACCACTGTGGAAAGCAAACCACTACTGCACAGCAACGTGGGCAAAGTCCAATTCAACTGCATCTTTCTACTTAGCAAAAAG